AATTGTCGTATAGAAATTAAACTTCCTATATATCTGGAGTTTGAAAATACTATAATTTGGCATCTTTGAAAATACTATAATTTGGATCTGAACTCGTGTCACTAGGTCAGAGGACATAGATTATAGAAAAATTATTTAAAGAACGGTTAAGAACGGAACGGAATACCTATTCTACTAGTCAAATAAATAGGTATGGAATTAAAATATAATCCTATTGTTAGAAATACGGTAATGTACCTAAGCTATCACGATTAAGTAAAAAAAAGATCAATATTCTATGTAATTTTTTGTCAATTGACCAAAAGTTGGCCTTCGAACCTTCGAACGGCCGTTCCGCGCTGGTGGATATTTTATATCACTTTACACTTCAAGATTTGCGTTACAATAATGAAAAGCTATAAAATATATTATCTATAGTCCAGCAATAAGAACTAGACTTCCAATAATGCGGTTCTTTGGTTAATTCATTCGCAATTTAAGTATATCCATAATTAATAAGTTAATTAAACTGTTCCAGCAATTTGGAATTGATTAAAAATATTTAAAAAAATCTCACTAGGTTTCATCTATGAAACTAAGAAGCTTTCAGAATAATGTGTCCTTATAAAATTCTCATTGTAAAATCAATACTGCGCAATCCGATATGAAAGTAGACTCTGACAACTACTCTTATTAATGTTTAAGATTTAACTTTCTAGTGTCTAGGCTATTTTATATAGTATGTACACTCTAAAACTCGACTATAAAGTGAGTAGCACTATCAAATTGCAAAGCTGGTCCTTGACATTAACAAAAGCTTTTAAAGTCCCGGTACTTAAAAAAGAAAGGTTGGGAACAATAGAATACTTGGTGCATAGTCACAACTATAGGTAGATATCTTAATATATATAATTCTTCTGTGCGTGTGTATGTGACTGAACTCCTCCTAAACGGCTAGACCAATTTTAATGGGGTTTTTGTGCGTGTTCAAGTGGATTTGAGAACGGTTTAGATTCACAATTTTCGGTCCACTACAAAATGTTATTCCTTTTGAGAGACGCAGACGAAGTTGCGCGGATCAGCTAGTATCTATAATAATAATAATAATAATATTCTACCACAATCACACAACGCTATCTAGTCCCAAACTAAGCAAAGCTTGAACTATATTATACATAGAAACACCCAGACCAAATCAAACATTAAATGTTCATGCACACAAATGCTTGACTTGAAAATGTATCTATATATCTATAGAAACATTTTTTATATATTTTTCCTATTGGATATAGCCTGGCGGTTGAATCTAGACCGTTTTGAATGCCCTGTTTTAATTTATAGATCAGAATTACTTAACCTGTAATTGTAAAAGCTTCTGTACCACGACAAATCAAAATATTATACACCATATACCTATAGTGAGATATAGCCGTTATAACATATTTTTTTTTAATTTATAGAAATATTCTTTAAAAGGTTTTGCTCTCTGCACTTATTCTTCACATAAAAATTAAGTGCTCCAAGTAACGGTTACGTCCTCGAGTAGGAACTAGACTTTAATACTTTGTACTTCAAATACTTCCACGACACGCTGCACTTGAGAAATGTAGCTTTTCGCAACTAATAATCCTTCAAAACATTTTCTAATGTATCATCGTGAAACGCCGTCAAAATACACAAATGCAAGGCGTAATACAACAAAATTGTCGTGAGACCCAGTAGGCGTGTTAAGTTCTGTTGACTTAATGAGATGAGACTTAAGTGTCCCCTGCAAATAGTGAGTGTCTTGGTTGCAAATTTTTCAAGGGTCAATGGGACAGTGTTTGCATCACATAAATTTTATATTTATCACTGTATAAAAATATCCAGGGACTTAGTATAATAACACAGCGCTATCAAGACTCAAACTCAGCATAGCTTGTAAAAGATATGTTAGATAGCTTCTGGGTACATACACTAAACATTACATATGTATATACAATAAACGTGACAATTTTATTAAAATTGAAAGAAATGTATGGTAAAGATACTGTCTGCTATCTATCGATGTAAAAGCAGATTTTTAGTGGAAGTTTTAACACAGCGAAGAACAATTATTCAATGTAAATAATAATAATGTTTTATTTAACTGTAAAGGTAAGTACACATTACAAACAGAAATGAGCCTTGTATAAATTATATACTATCGTTATTAAACGCTGATTTCAAAACTAGGTGTAATACCTGTATTTTAGAAATCAGTGATAAAATCAGTGTCAAATGAGTTTGAAAGCCTATACATTTATTAAACTCAATTCATATATATAATATATAAATAAATTAGTTTGATCTTACATTACGCGCTGCCGTTTCATCTGAAAATAATTTCATCGTATACAAAACTAAGCACAGACAATAAAGGAGATTACGACCATTAATCCAGCTAGAAAATGTGGCCTAGAAATGGAAAATTTCTAACACGCAAATTAAGCCGCTAGTTATAAATTCTTTGATGGTTCTTACATATTCTACGCAATGTTATTTTAATTAGTTCGTACGAATACAATGCTTTTTCGTCCAATAGTAACTTATTTACATAGCTATGATTAATTGCTTTGTTGGAAATTGAGGCACAATATCGGCAAATATCGGCGGCACAACTGAACAAATAGAAGGGACAGACCGAAGGATCGGTTTCGGCTTCGTCCCGTTTCGGCCAAAAAATCGAGTTTCTGTTCCGGTCAAAATTGGCTGAATCTTACGGCCGCACTGGTAATTAGTATTAGTAAAGTGTTGTGCGTCGTTCTGTTCAAAAACTAACCTTAAGTGTGTCTTTTCTTTTTTTTTCTTTTTTTGTTTCTTGATTTTTGTTGAATTATATTCTTTACACTTATTTCACCATTTATAACCACCAAAAACACGTATACTACAAATTGTGATCTTTGGTATATAATTTTTTATCTACCTACCAAAAATACATTTTCTCTTATCTAGAATTAATGACTGAATGTGTCTACCTTATTACAGTGGTTTTAGGTGGTATGTAGGTATAAGCTAATAAATGGCAAAAAATACACTAGATTTCAGTTTACAATGGAAATTTTAAAATTATAGTTTGAGTTTCGGTTTTTTGCCGAAACTGAAACAGAGGCCGAATGTTCGGTTTCGGCTGAAAACCGTGTTTCGGGCGGACCACTAACAAATGTGCTATATACTACAGTATCTTAGTAGAGATATTTTTTACTTTTTCATTATGTATATTTATTAATGCTCGTGATTACCAATAGTTAGTACCAATGTTTACCAATAGTTAGAGGGTTGTACTAAGTGCCTATTAGAGTTAAGTTATCTAGTTGAATGACTACTTATCTTTGTGAATTAAAATAAAAAATAAATAATGATAATATCAGAGTGCTTAATTAAATCAACATTTTCAAGTTATGCTGACAGGTTAACGTGGTTTAAAAGCGATTCTGCCCCTAAAATGGAGAACTTAGCTGTTACAATTTTAGAAATTCCAATGTAGTTAAAATTTCACTGTAGGTAATTGCTAAATATATTTAACTTGCGATTTCGGCGATTTTTTGGAGAACAATGGTATAAGAGCCAGTTTGACTAACTGGACGAAATTACGCGAAATCTTATTATTCATCATTGGATATTTATTATCATTATATGTATTCATCATCATCATCAACGGCCTTTAATAGTCCACTGCTAGACATAGGCCTCTCCTTAGAAAGGATGCATTGACCTGCTATACGCCGCTGGCCGGACAGGTTGATATAGGGTTTGTTTTAAGTTTTACTTCTCTTTCCAGTGCTGTTGTCCTGCGTAGTTTGCTCCCTTAGTCGGTTCTTACGACAGCCACGGGTTGACACTTTGTAATTTTAATCCGTCACCACACGGACAGTATATTTATTAATAGTACACCTACTTCAGTAAGGGATAGACAGAGGCGATTAAACGCCCAGATTTGGCCGACTTCAATTTTAGGTCTACTTACGCAATATGGGGCCAGCACAGCAAGTCGATAAATTACACCCAGACACAGAACAAAACGATCGTGCTCATCATGTGTTCTCCAAAACGTACAAGCTTTGTCTTTTCAGGCAGGATCAACAGGCCCGTGTTCTTATTATACAAGTATAGTACACATTTTAACAACTTGTCTACCCTAAACGTTGGGGAGCGTGACAATTTTCCCACTTAAACTTAATGCGGTAACTTAAAGTGACGTGAACTATTAATAACTTTACCTATTAAATGTGTCACGTTTATCATTCCCTCCCATCGCAATACATAGTTAGAAATGGGTACATGCCGCCTGTCTACGTCACTCTGTCACATCATATCTATAAGTTTGATATTGTTTGTACCAGTCAAGAGTAGTTTAGTTTGAAAATCTTTAGTAAATGGTAACTTTTACTGCAAAATTTGTGGTTAAAACTAGTTTAGTTAATTATTATTTTTGCGGTTTCATCATTTTGAAACGAGTTGATAATGAAAGGTCGCGGGTTTTGTTTCGTCATATCAAAAAGGTGTTAGTTCATTTATAGCGTCACATTTTTAAATAAAACTAAAACTGAGTAAGTCTACAGGGACTGTTGTCCCTGTAGACTTACTTACATAATTCACTCAATTGCTTCTGTATTTGTAATCTGCAAAACGATTCATGAGATTTGTTAAAAGTTTCAGTTGTGAGTGTAAAGAGCATTATTTTGTAGTCTGAAAGTATTCAAATAGGTTGAAAGTATTCAAGTAATTAGGTTCGTAATTCGAAGGTCCTGACGCACATCCGATGCTTAGGGCCTATTCGCGAATAGCAAATACGTCACAGATAGTTCGTCACTGCTACAGGGGTTAATTATCAGTATACCAGAAACAAGTACATAGATACGTCTGTCAACACAGTTTGACTTAATATGTGGCACAGATTAAAGCAATGTTGTCATATCAAATCCTTAGCAGTATATATGTGTTTGTACATATATCGAATGTGTATCTTTGATAAATAGTTTTAATTTTAGTTTGATTTACAGAACGGGCTGAATGCTCTCCACCTCGCAGCTAAAGATGGCCACATCTCCGTCGTGGAGGAGCTACTCAAAAGGGGCGCCACTGTCGATGCTGCTACCAAAAAAGGTACTTACAACATTTATTTATCATATTTAATCCTATTTAATGAGGATGGTACCGGGCAAACCGTTGAAATTACTTGTCTAAGACATTTTTTTAACAAATGTTTTAGGTAACACGATTAACTTTTGGCTATTTTTGTAACTAATTTGAAAATAAAATATTGTGTCAAATAATTACTTTACAGAAAGTTCGAAAGAAGTCAGAAAGAAATATTTAAGCGTACTTCGCTTTTTCATAACTAAGTGTAAATTATACTAAGCATACATACCCACATTATTTATAAACAATTTCTAAGTGTGCGCGTGCGTGCTCAAGTGCGTGTGCGTGTGTGTTTGTGTGTGTGTGAGTGTGTGTGTGTGCATACAGTAAGCAAGTATGGTAAGAATGTATGGTATTCAACGAACGCCAACAAGTGCAGTGTAATTTTAGTCGGAATTGAACCGGCTAAACCCACACGGTCACGGTGAATCGCGTGTGAGTCTATTGCAAGAGACTCGGGTATACCCTAGGAAGTCCCTAGGAATTAATTTTATTTATAATTTTTACTCTTCCTAGGCAACACAGCCCTGCACATAGCATGCCTCGCAGGACAGGAAGCAGTAGCGCAGGCGCTGCTCGGCGCGGGGGCAAAGGCCGACGCACAGTCCGCGGCTGGCTTCACCCCCCTATACATGGCCGCACAGGAAAACCATGCGGGGTGTGTCAAAATGCTCCTCGCTGCTGGTGCCAGCCAGACCTTGGCGACCGAGGTAAGAAACTGAGCATCAATACAAAAATAAATATGTATGCTGTGAGGTACGCTGGATTTTAAATTTTTGTCACGTGTTATAAAAGAGTAAGCCATATTATGTATGTGAGGGGATGAATTAAGAATACGGAGTGTCACCATCCATATTCGTTCCGTATATTGGTGTCGTAAGAGCCGACTAAGGGAGTCAACTATGCAGGACAAAAACACTGCAAAGAGAAGGAAAATGTGAAACAAATCCTATACCGGCTCGTCTGACCAGCTTGGTATAGTAGGCCAAAACCTCCTTTTTGTACGTCCAGCAGTGGACTACCAAAAGGTGTTGATGATAAATGATTTAAAAAATAATTTAACCAATCAGATTATTTAAGGCTTTCACGAAATTACTATCAAAGATTACAGGAGATCACGATGAAAGAGGTTATAAATAAAAAATGTATTCAGCTGTCGGAATGTTAGTTCTCTATAGGTGAAAGGAATCTCACGTCTATCCGCAGATTTTGAATGCGCGAGCTTGATTTGATCGATTTCTTTTAGTAGGTACCTGTTTATGTGACTTTATAATTCGACTGTAGACGTGTAATTATGTCCAAATCTGCCGTTCTGAAAATTAAATATACTTGCACGACATACAATATAAATTATTTATCATTTTGGTCTCCCTGATTTAAGAATTGATGATGATGAATTATATTTCAAATCACTTGACTATAGATTTAATATATGTACGAACCGGAGACTAAATTACAATTGTACACAATAAATATAATAAATTAATTACAAACAAATATGTTTCCCTGCACTTATGTTGATCGTGCAAAAGAATTTTTTAACCTTCTGCTGAGCCTTCCATATTCTGCCCATCGACAACCAAGTATTGTCTTACGAACACCACTGCAGTACTTTGTGTGTGTGTGTATGTGTTTTATTAACGTGCCTGTCTTTTCTTCGTTTTTAAAAGTGACATTAAAGTATTCTAACTAATGTATTTCTTTTAAACTACTATAGTAACGCGGTGGGCGCTAGCGATCACACCAACCGTTCACAGAAAACACACTCTACAGATGTTCTCTTCTTGCGAAATAATCTATAAATCATCACCATCATCATCAACAGCTTTTAATAGTCCACTGTTGGACATAGGCCTCTCCTTCGAAAGGAGGTTTTGGCCTACTATACCACACTGGCCAGGCGGGTTGGTATAGGGTTTGTTTCAAGTTTTCCTTCTCTTTGCAGTGCTGTTGTTCTGCGTAGTTTGTTCCCTTAGTCGGCTTTTACGACACCCACGGGATGAATTGGGGTGGTGACACTTTGTATTCTTAATCCGTCACCACACGGACAATCACACGGATAATCTATAAACAGCTAACAAAATAAATATATTGTAATCTAATTTCCAGGATGGCTTCACTCCTTTGGCAGTGGCAATGCAGCAGGGCCACGATCGAGTGGTAGCCGAACTACTTGAATCCGACACACGAGGGAAAGTTCGACTACCGGCGCTACACATCGCCGCGAAGAAAAATGACGTCAAAGCAGCCACATTGCTTTTAGAAGTAAGTGTTCAAGGACTCTCTAAATACAATGTTTTTATTGTAAAGAAATTTACGATCCACTTGACGATAAACTTAAGAAATATCCGTCTCGTTTCTTCAGGTGACAAATATGATTCAGTTCGGGTTTGATCCCCACACGGGACAACACTTTGTGTGACCCACAGTTGGTCCTCTGAGTCTGGATGTTATTTTTGTCCGTTTCATGAATATTTGTAAAGGCCACCGCAACACAGAAAACATTCCTAGTCCTTAATCCTGAGTTTTCTGTAAATAATAAACAAATTGTTTGGGTGTTTTTTATGTATCATATGCATGTATTTACAAAAAAAGTACATAAATATTCTATCAGTTAGCAGTCTAGCTGTCATAGTACAAGCCTTGCTTGTGTGTCAGATGTCCGAAAATATTATTATTAATTTTAAGAAAAACTTACCTTAAAATAAGGATTTAAAAGCTAATATTGATTGTATGTCACTCAATTAACCAATATTTATTTGTTATTATTTATTAACAGAACGAACACAATCCAGATGCATGCTCAAAATCTGGCTTCACCCCCCTCCACATAGCAGCCCACTACGGCAATGTTGGAGTGGCAAGAGCTTTACTATCGGCGGGTGCGGACGCCGGACGAGCTGCCAAACACAACATCACACCGCTACACGTCGCTAGCAAATGGGGGCAGCTCGCCATGCTAGACCTGCTTGTTGAGAATGGTAAATCTTCTTTAAGCTTCTCTTTTTTTATTCTTTTTAAAGACAGTTGCGATCGCAACCTAAGCCATACTGTACTATATATAGTACTGTTGATCTTTAGTAAAGTTATAAAAGGGTTTACCTTTTTTAATTACTAGGGCAGTTAATTCACTTGTTAGATGTACCTGCCCTAGAGACCCAAGAGGGACATGGTACCATAGCCTGACTTGAAGCTGAGCAGCCTCAGGGCTGGCGAAGGTGGAATTATGGAATTGACACACCACTGCAGCACTGCCAAGACTGTCAGCCTGACCAACAACAAAATAAAAGATTTTTGTTTAATAAAGTAATTTACTGGACTATTTCTTGTCTAAATTAAATACTTCTCTGTAACAGGTGCAAACATAGCCGCTGTGACTCGTGATGGCTTGACTCCACTACATTGCGCAGCACGTTCTGGCCACAGTAATGTCGTATCACGACTATTGCAGCACGGGGCACCCATCACTAGTAAAACAAAGGTATTGATATCTTTTTGGTCCTTATTTGGATGACAAACTAAATGTGATTAATGCTTAATATACAGAATAGTTCAGATTTTTTATTCTAATTTAATAAAAAAATCACTTATTTTATAAATTATATTTCTTGCACTTCTTGCACTTATTTTATAAATTAAATTTGGCGCATGGGAACAAATTTTGTAGTCGTAGGGGTTGGAATATAGCCTTAGAAGTTAAAAAACTAAGTAGCATTTAACCTTTTTACTTTCTTGTTTTATGTTAGTATGCAATAAAAAATACAAAGATAGTATACAAACAGTAAAATGTATATACAAAACAAAAAAGCGGTTAATACGCTTCTGCCCACCTTTTATGATGATTTTATGAATTATGACGTTCCACGACATATAATTATTACTAACAGGAATTTAACGAGTTGCCTGACTTACTGACGTTTCGACCAGAGGACCAATTGCGAGTCACCTTAACGATCGAGTTGATGTGAAATGAACTCGCACTAGGCTCTCAACTAGCCTTGATCACAGGCTGACTGCCTGCCCGTCAGTTAGTAATAGTCAGACAGCATTTTGATCGTAGTCTAAATTCAATGTTTTGTTTTCAGAACGGTTTAACCCCTCTCCACATGTCTGTGCAAGGCGAACACGTGGAGACGGCCAAAGTTCTACTCACTGAAGGTGCTCCAATAGATGACGTCACAGTTGACTATCTCACTGCCTTACATGTTGCTGCTCACTGCGGACATGTTAAGGTGCAAACAACTTTATACAATAGAGTTAAAGATGATTTTAACTTGATACTTTAACTTCTAATTAAATTTTATTCAAAGACTTATTACGCTGTGCCATTACCTTAGTTAAGTAATCATTTTTAAATAAAAAATCATACCGCACAGAAAGTTATCAGTCTTGATTGATACGATAACACTTATAAGTTTGCTTATCTTGTTCTGAGTGATGTGAAAAGTGAGTGAGTGAAAGAAAAACTAATATTCAGCAAAATTTAAAGTCGGTGTTAACCTCTTATTAGAAATTTTTGTTTAAACGCTGTAGAGTCTTCCTATGACATATTCTATAAAGATCTACTAAACTTAAACTTAATCTAGGAAGGCCGATTTACGTATTGATTCTGTATCATCATCAACCTATTGCAGTCCACTGCTGGACATAGGCCGCTCCCATTGCACGCCACTTATATCGATTTATGGCTTCTCGCATCCAGCTCCTGCCAGCCATCTTACGCAAATTGTCACTCCACCTGGCCTGTGGGCGTTTGTCGAGACGCGGTCTCCACTCAAGAACTCGTTCTGTATCGCACAGTGAGAATTCTCCCGTCTGCCAGGAATTAGATCTTAGACTGCTCGAGCTTATACTTTATCATTCTAACTAAACTCATCAAAGCAATAAATAGATAGTGTGTGTTTTGTATGGAAGAGGGGGCAAGCGAGCAGACGGGCCACCTGATGGACAGCGGCTACCGCCGCCTATGAAAGCCTGCAACTCAGAAGTCACAAGCGCGTTGCCGGCCTTTGAGAAAGGAGTTTTTCTTGAAGGTCGTATCGGTCCGGAATTTTGTTTATGTAAATTATTGATTAAACACTAACGTTTCAGGTGGCCAAGCTTCTTCTAGACAGAAACGCGGACGCCAACGCTCGAGCTCTGAACGGCTTTACACCTCTACATATCGCGTGCAAGAAGAATCGGCTAAAAGTTGTCGAATTACTGCTTAAATATGGTGCCAGTAAGTATAAAAACTTACTAATTTTTACAGGTTTTTTTATTGTTTTGCTAAAGGAGGATATTTTTTTCAAGCGAAGTAAAGATATGTTTTTGTTGTATAATAATAACTTGTGACATCATACATTGCTATTAAAATATCCTTTACTTTTATGCTTATAAAGTTTCTGTTCGATGCAATAATTACGATCGAATCTTCGATCGACCTTTGCTGATCTAACAACCTAACGCGGTCGTCTTAAGTGATTCGTTAAGTACTAAAAAGTCAGCAATCTACTTGTGACTTGATGTAGGTGTCATCTACCATCGGGTGACCCTGATCGCTTACACCCTACAGCATAAAAAAAGTGCATATTTCGCAGGCAAGTCTGCCACGACGGAGTCGGGTCTGACGCCGCTGCACGTGGCGTCGTTCATGGGCTGCATGAACATCGCGCTGGTGCTGGTGGGCGCGGGCGCGGCGGCCGACGCGGCCACGGCGCGCGGGGAGACGCCGCTGCACCTCGCCGCGCGCGCGCACCAGACCGACCTCGTGCGCGTGCTGCTCAGGAACAACGCCAAGGTCACTACAGCCACTCCACTCTAACCGTGCCGCTTTACATGTATTTTTATAAACGATAAACCCCATCAAAAAATACCTTCACATAGACCTTTAATAATCTACTACTGGACATGGGCCTACTATACCACGATAGCGGATAACGGATTGATATAGGGTCTATGTTAAATTCTCCTTTTAAACTATCGACACATAAAGATTTATAACTGACTTCAATGTTTTTACAAATTAAGAATCCAAAAATTAAGCTAACAACGAAAATAAAGTGCTATTTACTGCTTTATTGCTACGCAATGATTTTAGGCACTGCTTGATCTAAAAAATTTTTTTTTTTATTTTATTTTTTATTTTTTTTTTTAAAGACAACGCCCGCATTAGGAATAAATCCTGTGTCGCGGGGGACTTTACAAACATACATGAAACGGACACAAAGAACATCCAGACTCAGAACAACAATTTGTGGATCACACAAAGTGTCGTCCCATGTGGGGTTTGAACCCACAACACTCGGCGTAGTAGGAAGCGGCGTGGCGACCGCTTAAACCACTACGCCATCCGTGCAGTCAAAATAAACTCAAATCACTTGCTTTATCTATGTTCTTCCTTCCCAACTTACTCTCAAAACGGGAATTGTAGTATAATTTCCATTCCAATAGTTTAACTTATTTACTCTGTAGATTTGCGATTCGGCCTTTTTAATTTACACTGTTACTGTTACAACAAAATGGGAATATTTCCAAACAAGGAAAATAATATAAATCAAACCTCCCAAGTTGTTTACGAAGTGTAAATTGTAGTAATATTACTAAAAAAGAACCAAAATCCCAGGTGGACGCTCGAGCTCGCGAGGAACAAACTCCGCTCCACGTAGCCGCTCGACTGGGTCACGCCGATATTGCGGCGCTGCTTCTCCAACATGGTGCTGACGTCACAGCCACCACCAAGGACAAGTACACACCACTGCACATTGCTGCAAAAGAGGGTACGCACACACTATTATATATATGTACATAATCAAGAATCTACCACTAGGCGAATCTTGCAGCTTATACATATGGTTTCTCAAAATAATTTTTCTTCATTAAACGTTAATATGGTAAACTCAGTAAATAAAATTAATGAAATAATGACAATATCACGTATTTAGTCTTTGACTTAGTGTTTGATGTTCTAAAATGTATACATAGCTTCAAACACAACAAACGTATATCTTAAGCTACTCGTTTTCCTTGGGATTTTTAAATCATTTTTCATGAAGATCAGTAGCCACACATGGGTAGTTTTTTTCCTTTGCTTATAAGAAATAAATATATTTTTTTTACCAAAAATGGCTTCCATGTGTCATTTACTTTAATTACGAACTGTATCTTAAGAGTATAATATAGGGAAATAGGCGTTTGTTAGTTCTATCTTTGCTTTCGTTTAGTTCCCATAAAATTAATATTTCATGTATTTTTACTTATTATCCTTATGTACCTTATTGAAGTAATTAATTTTTCTACTTGTATCGCTTCTCAGTTACACGAGAAATACATTCGTCGCTTGATATAATTCAAAATAGTCTCACAGCAAAACATCCCCAGTAGTAGTCAATCAGCGCAATCAGATCTAAATAAAACACCACAGCACCACTTTACGAATCACTTTCTCAATCAGGCAAAGAAGAAGTAGCAGCCATTCTCCTGGATAACAACGCGCCTATTGAAGCAGAAACTCGTAAAGGTTTCACTCCACTGCACCTGGCCGCTAAGTACGGAGACACGGGGGTGGCCAGGCTGTTGTTGGCCCGCGGTGCATCCCCCGATGCGCCTGGCCGCTCCCACATAACACCGTTACACATGGCTACATATTACGGACATCCAGATATAGCTTTGTTGTTATTAGATAAAGGTATGTAAAGACATAAAATCGCTAATAAGATCTGTTAAGATCTAAAATTTAATAACAAACAATTTAAACACCACGCAATACACAACAAATGCGGCATGCATTCACAAAATATACTTTCTTTAGCACTCATTTATCAAACATCAGTATTCTTTTTGAACTTTTTAAAACACAAAACAACTAATTGTGCGAATATAATACATAGAATTTAGTTACGATGTTTTATATTTGACACCAGAGAAAAGGTTGCAGTAACACAATTTCGGATGCTCATTCTGTTAATGAAATAACTGGCTAAAAGATAATAAGAATGTGCACAAGACAGAGCCTTGTTGTAAATAGGGTTGGGTAACTTTTTCAATCGACATTAAAAAAACTTGTATACCATTCATTTTGTAAATTGAAAACTTACATGTTAGTTCTGGCAAAAAAAAAACATAAGCCACTCATATTTACACAGTTACTGATCACCACTTTGCCGATCAATAGAGGAATAACCAATAACCATTCTATGCCAGCGTCATTATATTTTTTTTTGTGTTTTGTATATTTTAATGATATTTCACTTTTAGGCTATGAAAACATTATTAAGTCTAGTTAATCACCCTCTTACATGTACATATTATTTAACATCAATGTCTTAATTCATAAATATGAATTGTGAATGATTAGCAAACCCATTTGAAAAAATATGTGTATCCTGTTGAAAAACAAACCTCACTAACCTACTTAAGTAGTAAAAATGAGTTGTACCTAATAAGGCGGAAAAAATGTCAATTGTTTTCAATTAAACTAATTTTACATTATTTTGTCGCTTAGTAAGGATTGCTTTTAAATCGTCAATTTGAAGTCAGTATTTTAGCAATTTTTAACAGTAATTACAAAACACTTTTTTCCACATTTTGTCTCACTGATTTTTGAATTGCTAGCTATATTCAAGTAAGCTAGAACCGTTATATTGTAGGTGCATCGCCACATTCTCTGGCGAAGAACGGTCACTCAGCGCTCCACATCGCTTGTCGGCACAACCACCCCGATATCGCCTTCGCACTGCTCGAACATGGTGAGTGCGGAGCTTCACTGCAGCTAGAATTGTGTTTATTTATAAAATCATTTTAACTTTTATACCCTACCAAATGTTAAACGATTTTCGACTACGAAGGGTCATCTTCTAGATGTTCTCTAATAAGAGATTTAGTGGATGCATGTAGCACATTCTCTAAGATCCTAAAGATTATCGACCAACCGGTCGTTAAGAATTAGATAAACTTAATATACTTTAATTATTTTAAATTTTATATTTAAATTTTATATAGGAAATATATGATCTTTGCTTTGGCTAAATTCCACGCGTACCATTGTTTTCTGTGTTTGATTCTGTACCTGTTTCTTTTTGAATTAGGGTTCCCTAGTCCGAACGAAACAAAACCTTTACAGAATCACTCGGTCTGTCTGGTTACATTTAATTTTCTTCGAATTTACTACTTCTAATTTCTGTGACCCAAACACAGATGTACAAAGTAAATACACTGAAAATGTAGGTCGAAAACAATATATAGAGTCAATAATTCTTTGGTCTTATAATACACGACAAATCTCTCAGTACTGTATGAACAATTTATATTTGTATTTGGATTGTCTGGAAGATTATACAAATATAATAATAATATTCCTTCAACTACGAGTACAATGTTAAGTTTGTAATGTAATTATGTATTTTCATCGTACGAAAGCCTCTGAACACGCCATCAATTCGATATACATCTCTATAATATTTATGTGATTAGATGCGGATCCCAGTGTCAAGTCCAAGGCTGGCTTTACACCCCTACACATGGCAGCGCAGGAGGGGCACGAAGACTGCGTAGAGATGTTGATCGAACGAGGAGCGGACGTCAATGTGCCGGCTAATAATGGTATTTACGACTGTTGATAGAATAGCAGCCTCTCTTTGTTTAAAAGGAAACCGGGAACTAAATATCAAGGGCCAGAAAGTTTTAGAGTGGCGACTACGTACCGGAAAACGGAGCGTGGGTAGTCCCCCTACAAGGTGACCGATGACCTGGTGAAGGTCGCGGGAAGCCGTGATATGCGGACAACACAGGACCGGTTATTGTGGAGAGCCTTGGGGGAGGTCTAGTAGTGGACGTCTTCGGCTGAGATGATGATGATGATTAACTAAATATTGTTGTAGATTAGATTCATTAGTTTAATTTCCTTAAGTGACGTAGTAGGTGTGCACTAAAAACAGATTTTTTAAAATTCCACCTCTAAGGGTGCAAAATGGGGGTGTAAATTTATTTGAAACTTCGTTATTTTTGCTAGTAGCGTTTTCAAACTCACAGTAAATACTCTTTATTAAAAGTGATAAATACGTCGTTACTAATTTGTCAGAGTTACCTTTATATGGGGATATCTTTTTCTTTATAAATTACGATTCCAAACTGTCAGTATACTCGTAATCAGTACGATGTCTGAGGTCGATCACCACAAAGCCATGTATATACTCGTACTTGGGCAGGTCTGACGCCGGTGCACCTGGCGGCGGCGGAGGGGCGGTCGGGCGTGCTGCGCGCGCTGCTGGCGGCGGGCGGGCACGTGTCGGCGCGCACGCGGGACGGCTACACGCCGCTGCACGCCGCCGCGCACCACGGCCACCACGCCGCCGCCAAGGCGCTGCTGGCCGCGCGCGCAGACGTGCACGCGCGCGCCGCGCACGGGTACGTCTCCGTCCTCACTTTGTGAAACGGTAGCCCCGATAAATATCTCCTTGTGTATGTCTCTTCTTGTACTGTCAATTTTCCCATTTTATTTCTAATGCACCCGATTGCATTTAACGAACGTTTCCTTTATTATGTAACTGGAACTGAGACTGTAAACAAAGAAATTAAATATATAATTTATATATAATATATTTATTTATACATAATTTTCAAAATTATAAAATCTAAGGGCCTTATCGGGTAAAACATTATTTTAAGAGAGAAAAAAACTTTTTAGCGATCCCTGTCAGGTAAATTTTTTTTACAAATACTGATCCGCATTATCTTAAAAGTTAATAATTTTCTGTCGATAAAGATAATTTAATTGATCATTGTCAAAAGTTATATATTTCAAAATTTCAAGCACTAAATTATTCTCCGAATGCTAATCAATCCATCTAATACATATATGTTGATATATTTTTTGATATCAGATTCACACCATTACACCAAGCGGCGCAACAGGGCCACACGCTTATCATACAACTGCTGTTAAAGAGCAACGCCGATCCGAACGCACTATCTGCTGTAAGTGTAATTAAATACCAACATTAGCTCACAGTTGTTTGCCGTCAGCACTAAATACAGCAACACTAAAGCAAAGTTAAGATAAATTCGAATTCCCTAATTGAGAAAGACTCACTACTTATCGTCACTAATATACACTAGACTTAGATTCTGTTGCTGAGCAGTAGATACTTGTGGTTAGGTTATACAATTGTCGGCGAGACAGCGAATCAAAAATTGTGATTGTGTAGGTAGAAAGTGTAAAAAGATTTACCAGAAATAAATTTAATACTAGAAACATTTCATCACATCTCTAACAAACTTAGATATCTTTTCGCAAATATCTGTAATTTTTCGGATTTAATAACGAAAATGAGCCGCTAAATTGACTTACTTTTTGTACAGAATGGACAGACAGCTTGCGCAATCTCGGACAGACTCGGATACATCAGCGCTGTTGAGGCGTTGCGACCCGTAACTGAAAACACCTTGAGTCAAGCTGTCGGCGATACTGGTAAGTTCAAAATTTATTTTGCTTTACGGCTTGAACTTTGAAACAGCATACAGAAACTGCCTCGATTTCCCTCGGGTCTGAAGGCTTTTCCTACGTAAATTTTATACATTGTAAAAATGAAAACTTGAACAGGTATGTTATAATTGTTATTCTTCCTATATAGCGCCAATACGCTTTTTTGCACATAATCAGTGTGCAACTTCGATAGCGCGACACAGTATTGTTTGTTTATAGTAATTCAAGTGTACCTCACTTGATGGCGTTGAGCAATTTACCTATGTTATATTGACACATTGTTACATTAAACATTGTGTTCTCTAGATTAGAGGACATAACTTTTTTCATAAATACAGACTGTTACATAACAATGAATGAACAAAGATCATCACCATTAACCAACTTGTACAGGTTTCTTAACTAAATAATGAGTTTTATTAATTATTTAGGGACTTAATTAAGGTAAGATGCATATCTAAAACTAAACATTTTAAAATTTATGTCCTTTAAGACCTTTATGATTTGTTTCTGTCTCCGCCACTACACCATACCTCTTTATTCAAAGTTACAAGTGGATAATAAGTTTATAACGTGTTTAAATAATAAGGTAAGGCAATTTCTTGCTTAAGACGTTGAATATTAAAGGTTCATCATCAAGCCTTTAATAATCCACTGCTGGACATAAGCCTCTCCTCAGCAATTTATGAATATTATTATACCTAGTACTACTACTTTATTAAATACAACTGCTTTTTTTCTTGACTTCTAACAGATTTCAAAACATAGTACAAGTATTTTTTTAAACTTTAATCTTAATCGATAAAAGTATTAAAAATTACTTGTACTATGTTTGGAAATATGTTGCATTTCAACTCTCCATCTCATCTTTAATCTCCATCTCTATCCATCGGTTGTCTAGAAGAGATCGCAAATCGCGAGAAGGCTGCCAATTGTATGTATTTTGTTTTTACTTCCTATATAACTGTCCTTAGATCATAAGACTTATACAAACTGTACTAAACTGTCTTTTGAACAATAAACAGTTATAAATATCTTTCTATTGGTGGTGTAAAGATCTACATAAAAGCCGGTTCTATATTCATCTTTTATAATTACTTCTGGCGATAGTTTTTTCTATAACAATACAAGCATTCTTGCTCTTTAGCGGCCTTGATTCCACCAAAAACCTCATGTAGCTTATCCCTTACACACCTTTAGAGTTAAATATCTACTTTATTTTGTTATATGGCCAAATATTAGTGATATAATCATAAAACAGATGCTTTATATACAGTTGCCCTAATAATGCTTCTGATGCGAAAACTTTGAGTGTATTGTTAGGTCAATGGTCGACAACGTTCCCGTGTCTTTTGTTTGTAGGTGCCATTCATAAAAGTAAAACATAAGAAGAATGTAATTTCCTGGACTTACAAGAATAATATTTAAGTTTTATTGAGAATATATATTTTAACTTTAAAACTCAGAGGCTCTACATCATCCAAACTTTAATGTCATAATGTCTTTTTTATCTCACTATATCATTAATTAAAGCTGTTTATTAAACTATCTAACACATTTTGAAGTGACCAATTCCAAGATCTGAAGGTCAATACTCGTGTTAAAAATTCGTTCAAAATGCAGTTCCGCTCTACTCTCGATCTCACAAATGTAATCAAAGGTATTCTCGTCGTAAAGAATTAAACGTCCAACGCTAACTGTGATGATGGAACTGAAATGTCATTATATCGTATTGTATTTAAAAATTTGAATCGGTATTCTGCTAGTCTTAGTAATACTTTACTACGAGAATACCTTTTATGACATTTCTGAGATCGAGAGTAGATCGGAACTGATTTTTGAACGTATTTTTATTTGGCAGGATTGACCTTCTGCCCGCGACCTAGACGCTACATGTTAACACAACTATAAATGTATTAACGATATTTAAAAAGCAAGCATAATTACTTTAATTAAAAATAAAATGTTTCATACTTTAATATAACCTGAGCTCCTTTGATCTAAATGCATGCGTGCACGCAGTCGTGTGCGACGTAATAAACGTCAAAGTTATTATTGGAGCTATGCCAACGGCTGCACCAGACTGACCTTTCTGCTGCATAAATATCTGTGGTAAACAGCGCATTTATTATGCATATATTTGCTAAATAGGTCACAATATATTCCGTTCCTGAAACTGTAAGTAAGTTTACATTTTGGAAAGATTTTAGAAAGGAGGGACTTCAACCGAATTATTTTATATATTTAGAAATATATAAGTATACCTATAAGAGGTCTGGTTACCATAGTACAGGCCCTGCCTAGTTTGAGATTAAACGGCCGTGTGTAAGATGTGTGAGTTACTATTGTTATTATTTATCACATCTGTAAATTTAGTATTCATTTTAAACGAATAGCTCGTGTTTCTCGTGATTTTTACTATAAAAAACGAGCGAATTTTACAGTACTCACATATAATGTGTCGTCTCACCTGTCCCTGTCATCTCACTTACCATACAACGGCCAAATTGAGAACCAATCGCGCTCATTGGTTAGATCAAATATCCCACGGTTTGCTGGCATCCTGTTTCATACTACCGTTATTTTTCACGCAATCACTTAATTTGATTGCTAATTAAACACTAGATAACACACAGTAAGAACTTGTAGAATAATAGAGGTAGCTATTGTCGTTCTCTGCCGCGCCAATCCAAAACACTGTAACTTTTGAAAACGACCTTGAAAGCTTTTTTGCAGTTTTTACTATGTTAAAACCCTAAGTTTTCTACAATACAGTATTTTTTAGATTAGTGTCTCTTCTAAAATACACTTTAGAATAACAAAAGTGTTGATCAACGGTACTAAACCGACGTAAAGAAACTGATTGAGCGTTGTTAAGGCAAACAGTCGAGTTACAGTCTTTTGGATTGGAACGGCAGTTCTTTACGACGAAGGTCAGTCCTTATTCATGAAGTTTAAGTACGTAAATAAGTCTCTCGAAGATTGCTTACCTAAACAGGTGACTAAGTCCCGCAAATATAAATCATTACGTAGAATATATTTAATAAAAACTACGCAACAAACTCTACACCACAACCCGTTTGTAGCTTACATCATCTATAATTTTGCTAAATGATTTGTTTTGAGTAGGTACTAATAGCAACAATGTAAATTTGTAATTTAGGAATAAGTAATATTTTACGGGGTATAAATTGAAATATTTCATATGGGGGAACTGTACTTAAATAATGAATATTTGAGTGAATGTTTCGAAATGTCTATTTATTATTAGTTTTAAATAGGTATTCATGCATTTTAAGTGTACATTTCGAGCGGAAATGGAAATATCGTGATTAGAAATAAGGAGAGAGATTTGTTCTTATTTCGTAATCCATGTTATAATTTAAAACTTCAAAATATATAATTTCAAAAGTTTAATGCACGGATGGCGAGTGGTTTAAGCAGTCACCTCGCCGCTTCCCACAACGCTGAGTGTTGTGAGTTCGATTCTCACATGGAACAACACTTTGTGCGGTCAACAAATTGCTGCTCTGTCTTTGTGTATGGTTCATGCATGTTTGCATGAACCATACACAAAGACATTAGCGATAGGTCGGTAATAAGTAAATATTTTGATATTAAAAAATAATAATGTGTATTCCTGGTGACGTGCTCGTAAAATAGGTTACCTAATATGAACAACACTCAGGAAAGATCTATGTAGTCACTACACTGCAGTGTGCGAGAAGACTGAGGGTGGTGGTGGACGGAGGTATTCTATTACATTCAACTTGCGCATCTACTTTGAGTCAAATTCTATCATTTTGTCTTGGTTTACGATTGAAACATTGTCGAAAAATACTCGATTTCCTTGATATTTATATGAATTGTTTGCCTAAATCTAAAATATCACGAGCGAGCCGCATGCAAAGAGCAAAAAATAATACTTCCAAGTATAGCGAAAACAGTTGCACATTGTATTAAGATACAAATGGTTAGCAATGAAATCACGTTGTTTACCATTTCAAACAATAAATCGTACTATTTATGTGGTGCAAATCACACATGTCACTGTTATGTTGGCGGTCTATTGTTAGGTACCATGAATAAGATTATGGGAACGTTATCGCTTTCTATGTAACTATGGTAGCTTGTTACTTTGTCAATACAATAATTAATAACTCCTTTGCTAGAAGGCTTGTGATTTAGGTTGCATGATCATTCGCTCTGTATCTAGGTCTAATTAATCTATAATTATACTAGCTGGTCCTTGCCATGGTTCGTTGAGGCATATTGAGGTTGCAAAAAAATAGATAAAAACCAGCTTTCACCAGCGTGTCAAAATTGGCGGAGTAAGTATGTTCATCAAAGTCCGGTTTACATAATACAGGCTATGCTTAGTTTGGGAGCAGACGGCCGTGTACGATGATGTGATGGTTATTATTATTATATGTATTATTATAACTTAACTTTTTGTAAGTAAGGTGAGTTTTGATTTGTTTCTAATATTTAGTTATGCACATTCAAAGATAATTTTTACAACGATATCTACTGTCGATGATAAACATTAGTTAAAGAGAGGTGTAGGTTCCAGAAACCTCCTCAGTTTGTGTAAATCTTTTAAAGATCTTCATAATGGTATTTGTCTTTCCGTTTCGCGTCTAAATATTTACAAGTATGTAAGAGATGTTGATGTATATAAATATAATAACTATATAAACTCATGAATAACTTTATATTATTTCTTCCTATAAAAAGTCAATACAATAAAACAATACAAATTATTAACATTATTTCTTTCCACGTCGTTTTGTAAATGCACTCTTGGGCTACATTAGAGTCTGTATCTTTATCTTTATAGGGATGAAACAATTCGAGTACGCCATCCATAGTTTCTTTGCAAGTCGGCAGGATCTTTTTAGGCGGAAGCGCAAAGCCAGCGTAACCGTTATCCCGCAACTCAAATGTTACTACATAAGGCACTTTGAATGTATTTTTTACCCAGCACCCGCTCACACCCGAAGATAAGTAACCAACAGTATCAAAAGCAGTTCCTATGTCATATCTTGTATTATATTTTACAGCGATCTTCTTTGCCACTCTTTTACATATTCCGTACATTTCGTCATAATTTTCCACATGTTTTTTAGAATTAGCGTAAGGCAAAATCATATACTGACCGTATGAATGAAAGGCTACGTAATATCTTAAGTTTTCGCTTTTTGACTTGATGAAATCTGCCATTGCCTTTGATTCCTTTTCTGAAAAAGCGCGATTCCCACAATAGAGTTCATCTTTCATCTTCCAGCTTACACCAACGGCTCCAAACGCATGTCCGAAGTTTCTGTTCAAGTCAACTCCCTGACCGTTACGATTCTTTCTCCATAATCTATCATCAGTATGAGTGTACTCATATCCATCAACGTTTAAAACAGGAACAAAGTACCACTCATAGAAATTGGCCACTGTCTTTAAGAGCTTGTCCTTATAACTATCAGCGTGGAGAATCTGATTTATGAGATACGTTACGAAAGCTGGACCGATCCACTCTCTGGCATGTATCCCACCCTCAATAATCACTCTAGGTCTTTGATCTTTATTTTTATTCAGTAGTATCTTTACTGCGATTATGCTCCTATTTTGATGCGAAAGCCCAATTCTTTCTAATTTAACTGCTTCAGGGTGCTTCTTTTCTAAGTCTTTTAACCAGTTGTAGATATCATTTAAACGGAAGTAGTCGCTCCAGTCGAAGGAGTCCATCTGTCTTCTAATATAACTCTTCACTGTTTGTTTGTCGAAAGCACTCTGTACATCATCGATAATAGTCGTGAGGTAGACGCCGCGTTTATCAGCATCTCGCAAAAATGACGTTCGGTCTTTAGGATTGATTACGAAGTCTATGGCTCGATGCAACAATCCAGGTCTTCTCCAGTAGTTTACATCGTAGAATTCATCTAGATTTGAAAAGAAATCAATGTGGCTCTTGTTCACCGGGATTGCTCTGTACATTGTGAAATTTGTATATTTTTTACCGGCACAAATGTTCACAGAAAACACAAAAATAAATAAAGCAATGACATTTACATGCATTTTAAATAATTTAATTGATGCTACACTTCGTGTTGTATGTTTTTTAGGATTCCGTGACCATTGAGAGTTGTTGCTTGTTTAGCACACAGAAAATGGGGATTGACAAATCATTACGCCCTCTGCAGGGGCGATTAAATATTAAACACACTCCTTTTTCGCGTAATCAATCCATACATAGGATTGATTACGCGAAAAAGGAGTGTGTTGACCTAGAACAAAGAAAATACTATTTAGAAAAATGGCCTGGAGGTTTATTGTAAAAATAACTATAATAATATAACTAATAACAAATAATAATTTAACCATAAATATTATTGGCTGGCTTGTTGGTCTGGTTGGTGGTCATGACGGCTGAGCCAGAGGTCTTGGGTTCTATTTCTATAAGCGACAAATGATTGTATAATGAGCACGATCTGTGTTCTATATCTATGTGTATACCTGGTATATATTTAAGTAGTTCATCAGCAGTCTGTTAACCATAGAAATCGTAATAATAAAAAAAAAAAAATTGTGATGGTTACCGTACCATAATACAGGCTAGTTTGGCATCAAACAGATCAGCTTTTTAGTAAACGTTTGATTATAAGTATAATGAAACCTTTACTAAAAAGCTGATCCAAGAAGTCCAGTCAAGTCTCCGTAATTATTGTACTGGTACTTTAACAGTGAGATAGCTGGTGTTATAAGGAAATAGTGAGCTGTTAACGCCGTATACGCCGATAGTTTTTGTCTATGCTATTGGAACGAAGTTCCTTATCGCGCGTTGTGAAAGGGGGCTAGACGGAAAAAATTCGTACGAAAATTTGGAACGACACTTTTTTATTAATATAAATTGACGTCTAACTGTGGATACCATACATTAAATTTGCTTTAACGTTCGCCAACGTCCATACCATGTTGAATACACCGGTTCTCGTCCGATCACCGAAGTTAAGCAACATCGGGCGTGGTTAGTACTTGGATGGGTGACCGCCTGGGAATACCACGTGATGTTGGCTTTTTGCTCTTTATTTTCGTGTCATCTTGTCAGACATTCAGCGCCATCTATCGAATAGATAGGAAATCATTTCGCAAGGAGATTTTACCAATGTATAAATTGTTTTAATTGTTTTTAATATGTAGGTAATAGCCGCTTTCATAGATGGCGTTGTAATTAAAATCGTGTCAAATCAGTTTTACTCGATCGTCACAACTTCGTTCCTATCGGGTGTCCCACGACACCACACGGCTTTTTCTTGTCATTCGTATCGCATCACTACATTGTAACTTCCGCACAAAATTACTTTTTTTCCTACTTTCCTGTCCTTTTTTCCCAACAGCTACTTTTTTTAAAAGAAGAATCTTTATTAGTCATAGACCACAAAATTGCTCTGACCTAAAAGCAGGCGATATAAGTACACTACAACAATAATAGTCACTACGCGTGGATACATAAGTATGACTAATGTAATGACCACAAATATATCACTAATTATTCCGGTTACAAGATATGACTCGTCACGATTGTGTTATTTATTCTAATACATGTATAAGTACACTATAGGTATAGGTTTGAATGTATGAAAGAAGTGTGTTCTGCATGACAGATTATCCACAAGTTGAAAGTGCGTACCGTGCGTAGAATTCAATAGATTATATTTTTATACGAGTACCTACACCTTTCTAACTTTAATAGCACTTGCCTCTAATGTACCAACTAACTAACTATATAACAAATAGCAGGTTCTCTCGTGGGGGTCTCCGTATGTTTTTTCTTTATTTATTCATCTCTTTATTATTCTCTTTAGTAAAACAACTCCAGCACTAGGCATTCATCTGTGTCGCGGGGGACTTTACACACATACACCTAGACACAAGGAACACCCAGACTCAGAACAACAATTTGTGGATTACACAAAGTATTGTCCTATGTGGGGATCGAACACTCAGCGCAGTAGGACGCAACGAGGTGACTGCGACATCCGTGCGGATAGCGTAGTAGTTTACGTAGTCACGATAATTATCAGTCATAATCAGTAGTCAAAGTGATAGACAGTATTAAACAACTACACTTTGCCGACTGATAGAATGAATTCAGCCCCTCAATAGTAGGAGGCAAGCCCCTTCCTCTGGGCACTCCTAGAATTGATTAAAGAATTAGAAGTATAATGAAAAGAAAAACAGGTAAATTTTGACGGCAATCATAGAACAGAGAGATATTGCTAATACGGATGTGTACGCAGCAGTGGACTATTAAAGGATGTTGATGATGACAATGTTGAGTTTAGTGCATAATTAAAAGTTTCAATATTCTTCATGGGAGTGCCATGCTTCGGCACAAATAGGCCGGCTCGATTGGAGTAATACCACGGCCTCGCAATAAACCGGCGTTAAGCAAATCTTTTGTTGCTTTTCACCGAATGAGTAAAGTTACCGGAGCCTAATCCTTCTGGTTGTGGGAGGAGGGCTGAAAGGGTGGCAACACATTTGGCACTATTAAGTTGCAGTTGTCCATGGACAGCCAGACCATTATGTATATCCGTTTTACGGACGTCCGGATTCACATAATTTTCATATTCCTCAGCGATTTCACGTGCCTCATATTCTTTAGAAAAAAAATAGTAGCATAAGCAGAAACCTTTACACACTTTTCCGTATGGTGACGGATTAAGAATACAGAGTGTCTCCACGGCTATTCATCCCGCGGGTGTCGTAAGGCCGACGAAGGGAGCAAACTATGCAGGACAATAGTACCGCAGAAGGGAGCCCGCCAATACCTCCTTTGTAAGGAGAGGCCTATGTCTCGCAGTAGACTATTAAAGATTGTTGATGATGATAATGATATACTTTTAACTTCACTTCTAAATAAGTAATTATATAATTAATCAATTTTAAGAAACCTTACAGACAGAGTAATATTTAAATATACTTGCCAAACACCACATTAGAGAAAATAAACACAGTGATACCGCTTAGTGCAGTATGTCTAACTGACTGTTCATTCCTACTTCTATTGTAAGCAAATCGATCAATATTTGCTCACAATGTGATTCAATACAATACAGTATTAATTTTAAACTTTCATTGCAAATGTACATATATGATGATAGATACCTTGTGCGTTCGTATACTGTTACTGTGCCATTGTAGGCTGACCATGATTTAACCGTCTTTCAAAAGGAATAAATTTTCCCCGTTTTGCAACATTTTTCATTGATGCACAGCTCCTATTTGTCGTAGCATAATGTTAATATTTTTTTCAATTTAAATTAGTTGTTCTTAAGATTAACGCGCTTAACCCAACGAACTCTTCAGCTTCATAATAATAGTACAGATTTCTTGGCCTTACATGAGCAGCTATAGTTTTTGTGTTTTCATGTCGAAATCATAGAGTTTGGCTGTTTGCCAAAAACTATTAAATTTTTACATTATGTCTCATTTTATTAAACGTTGGTGTGACGATGAATTAAGAATACATGGTGTCACCACCCCTATTCATCGTCAAGTCGTTTCAGGGTGTCGTAAGACCCGACTAAGGTAGCAAACTACGCAGGACAAAAGCACTGTAAAGATAAGGAAAACTTGACACAAACCCTATACCAACTCGTCTGGCCATCGTGGTAGGCCAAAACCTCCTTTCTAAGGAGAGGCCTATGTCCAGGAGTAGACTATTAAAGGCTGTTGATGGTAATGATATTAAACGTTGTATTGCAGTTTAAAAATATCCAGTTTTCTTTGATGTGAATCGTCTTGATTTCCCGTAATCTGTAGATGTGAAATTTTGTAAAAAGTGTATAACAAAAGGCCAATTCCCGGAATAAAAGTTCGGTCAATATACATTTTCGATCAACTCTCAATCTCACGACTGTCATAAAAGATATTCTCGTCGTAGTAAAGTATTAAACGTCCAACGTTGACTGTAATGTGATTATATCGTGTTATATACTAGTCTTAGTAATACTATTTACTATTTATTACGAAAATATATTTTATGACAGTTGCGAGATCGGCATCTACAATGATTATTCGCACTCAATAGTTAAATTTGGAACAATTTAGTTGCTTCAACGTTTCTTAAAACGTACATAAAATTAAAAAATGAATAATATACTTAAATGACACTTATCTCGAGGTTGTCATTAGCATATTTATTTAGAATTCAATGTTTTGCAAGTTTTGTGTACAGTCACGTCCATAAATATTCTACTTGATTTAATTAACCTATTATATACTAACTACTTGAGGTTTAGGTTAAACACGTTTCTCAATACCGGAAACACATAACGCTTAAAAATCATTAAATAAATTAGTATATATGTCAACAACATAATTGTATTAAGGCGTTTTAATTTACATATGTTTATATGCTATTAAGCAGGTATAAAGATAATAGGAAGTTTTATACCTCATTGAGAAAGGAAAAGGTAGACTGAAAATAAATTAAAAATAAAATGAAAGGAATATTCACAGTAGTCGATAATTTTAATACACATAAACTGTAAAGACACTAACGCAGGAAGTAAACTGCTATAACAGTTCATTAAACGTTAGATTCCTTATTATTTACTCTTTTTTTGTTAGTAACAATTATAAATTAGTAGATGTTACTGTTCTTATAAACATGCAGTCTGATAGTCATTGCTATTTATCGGAGAAAGTAGATTATTTATAACTGTACTTTTAAATTATCTGTCTCCTTGCAGTTTTACAAGTACATACTCGTACTAGGTTACAGAACCTGTACAGAAAAAGTGATTAATAAACTTTTCGATTAATTAATCATATTATAGATCCAGTTTTATAAAAGTAGTTCAAACTACGAATATTATATTTGTAATAGTTGTAATAAGACTGATACCTCAAATATTATTCATGCTTACTTGGTGTTTAAACTATTAGTTACTAGGCAAAAAACAACTAAAAACATGAACTCATAAGTC